TATATATAAAGATATACATATATACATATATATATATAAATATATATATATATATATATATACATATATATATATATACATATATATATATATATATATATTTATATATATATATATATATACATATATATATGTGTATACATATATATATGAATATATATATATATATATATATATATATAAATATATACATATATAATATATATATATAATATATATATATATATATATATACATATATATATATATATATATATATATATATATATATTTATATTTATATATATATATATATATATTATATATATACATATATATATATATATATATATATATATATATTAAATATAATATTATATATATATATATATATATATATATATATATATATATATATATATATATATATATATATATATATATATATATATATATATACTATATATATATATATATATATATATTATATATTATATATATATATAATATTATATATATATATATATATATATATATATATATATATATATATATATATATTATATATATAGTATATATATATATATATATATATATATATATATATATATATATATATATATATATATATATATTTATATGTATATTTATATATATAAATATATATATATATATATATATATATATATATATATATATATATATATATATATATTATTACATAAGATAAAACAAAGTTTAACTTTAAAAACTAAAATAGGAGACCTTTACTGAATGCGTTAGGATATTGCTCAGCCGGAAAAACTAGTATAGCTAAAATAAACAGAAAAACAAGTATAACAGATTTTTACGTATTTTTATTTGTTGTAAATTTTATAAACAATAAAATTAAGGCAGCTAGATTTATATTTAAACAAACAGTAATATTAATATTAATGTTAATGACACTTTTTACACACTTTTCTTTTAATAAAGTACGATAATACTGAATACAAAAAAACTTATAAATGAAACTTAGGCAATATTTAAAACTATAGTATTAGTTAAAACAATATTAGTAGGATGCAAATAAATTCCAGGAGAAATTATTTGATTAAATATCTTATCGCTTACAATTTTATAAAGTTAACCACTTGACTTCAAAGTTTACTATAGACACGGAATAGCATGTAGCTTCGGAAAACTAAGAAAAGAGATTTTGGGTTTTTCTGTATCTAAATGGAAAGACAAAGCTAGTGGTGTACTAAAAAAAATATTTTTTATAAGGATCTAAAAATAAATAAGAAAAAACAAAGTCATGCGAAGTTATTTCTGGTATTTCAAAATTTGATCCAAATCACCCCATGTCTAAAGAACGTCAGAAGCTTAAATAAACCTCTTTAGAGAAAGATCTCGCAGTTTTGATTTCATCACTTTTTTTTAATGATCTTATGAGTCAAAAAAAAAACACTTTTAAGTCAAATATCTAAGTTAAATATCTTAGTAAAAATTAGAAAAATATTTAATTCAAACAGGTTAGTCAAAAATTTTGTCAAAAAAATGAAATAAAATAGATCTCGTCACGCTTCCGAAATATTTGTGTCCACGCATTTTCAATAGAACATCATGGTTCCTAAAGAGCAGAATCGCATGAAAAAAAGTAAATATACGAAAGCCTTCTAAAAAAAAATACTTATTTACATGAGATATCTATCCTTTTTTTGTCCTACTGACGACAATTTATGCAGGTTTTTAGTTTACCCGGTCAAAAAAGGGCGTCTTATGCAAAGTTCTAAGTGTCTTAACTAAACCAGGTGTGCCGTCAAACAAAAATTATTGGATAGAATAGGGATGGGGTAAGTAACAATTTTTTGTGATTTGAGAGAAAATAACATCTTAGTTTTCCTTGTTTTATTGCATACACAATTTAATATTAAGTTATCAAGTCGTAAGGTTGATTTTAGCATTTTTACTAAAACGATCCTTAAGTAAGATAAAAATTAAAAATTAAAAAAAAGTAAATAAGAACCTGACTTAATTAAATGCGGTCATTTTAAAGGAAACAGAGAAAATGTATGTTATATAGGCTGTTTATGGCATTTTTTATCATTTTATTGGAATACTCAACTAAACCACCAACTTCTCTAAAAGATTTCCCTGCTGATATCAACTTTTGGATCAGTTTTCTTTTTTGTGCACTGCAATGTTTTCCGCTTTTCCATTTTTATATGTTAATGTCTCCTACTAATACTCGCTAACATAAAACAAATAAAACAGCAAAAAAAAAAACCAATGCTTGTATTTTCACAATTATTTTTACCGTTATATGAATAATTTACAACAAAAGAGTGTGTGGTGCTATTTTAATTTTCGGTAGGAATTGGCATTTTTAATTAAAATCGAGCAACACCAAGCAGTTTTTTTCCCAAAATAATTTGTTTTAGAAAATAAACATGTTAGCTAATATTTTAAAAAGCAAAGCTATAAAAAAAATTTATTTTGCTTGGTGTTTTCTTAACAAAAAGAAAAAAACCCTTGTGGTGCTAATTCATTTTTCGCAACTGTATATACATACATATATACTGTATATATATATATATATATATATATATATATATATGTATATATATATATATATATATATATATATATATATATATATATATATATATATATATAAATGTATATATATATATATATATATATATATATATATATATATATATATATATATATATATATATACATTTATATATATATATATATATATATATATATATATATATATATATATATATATATATATATATATACATTTATATATATATATATATATATATATATATATATATATATATATATATATATATATATATGTATATATATATATATATATAATATATATATATATATATATATATATATATATATATATTCATGTATATATATATATATATATATATATATATATATATATATATATATATATATATACATATATATGATTTAAAGGATAACATCTTGTGTGAGAGTATATTTATATATTATTTTAAAACATCAAAAATACGATTTCTCTCAACACTTATAATTTTTTTATTATTATAGATTAAAATTTACGCTGGATTTTAGATACCAGCTTCTTTAGCTTGTTAAATGTTACATTAATTAGTAAACCGTTATAATTTAAATTAAAACGTTGCTATTGAATAGCTTCTTTTTCGCTGAAATTTAAAAGATGGCGTCCAAAACTTAGTTTTTACTTATTGACCCTCATCGAGATTAATCCCGCCTTTTTTTGCAGGACACATGTTTTTTTGTATATCTAGGGCTTCCCTAACTTTTCTTTCAAATTTTTTATTTTCTACTTTCAATGTTTTTGTTTGTTCCCAAATAATTTCTTTTTTTCAAAATGTTTTATGCAGAGCTAATGCAGATTAATGCTGTTTATTTTCATCAATGCTTTTTTGGTGTTGATGGATTCGTGTGTTTACTTTCATTTTTGCTTCGCCTACATACACTTTTGAACAGATGCATTTGATTATATATGTTCCTGGTTGACTGTTATTAGGTAATTTTGATTTATTTTGTGATGTTAACAGGGATCTTAAGTTTGGGTTTGATTTGAATACCGCGCTGTAACCAGCTTTTCGGAATATTTTCCTAAGTTTTGGCGAGAGACCGGGTACCTATGGTAAGGAAACTACAGGATAATTATTGATTTTAGATGGAATTGTAATTTTATTTTGTCTTTTGTGTTGTAACTGATGCACAATATTCATCATTTGAGTTTTATCGTAACCATTTTCAATAAACACGTCGATTAGAAAATGTATTTCATTTTGCAACTAAGTTTTGGACGCCATTTTTTAAATTTCAGCGAAAAAGAAACCATTCAACCGCTGACATCTAAAATAATAAAAAAACTATAAGTGTTGAGAGAAATCGTATTTTTGATGTTTTAAAATAATATATATATATATATATATATATATATATATATATATATATATATATATATATATATATATATATATATATATATATATATATATATATATATATATATATATATATATATATATATATATATATATATATACAGCGCTCGAAATAACGGCCGATCAACGATCAATGATCGTCGACTTTTGGAAAAAATGAAATTTTGAACTCCCAAAATTAATTACGCCGATCAAATTTGATTGTCTACATTGCATGTCACACATTAGAATAAAAAATTTTTTAACATTTAAAAAAGAATCTTAAATTTATTAAATTAGCATTAAAAAAAATATGTTCATTATTGCTGAATTAAACAAGTTTTTAGACCAATAATAATCTTTTAGTTCACATTAAAAATGGTAATTAAAAAGAAGCGCGAAGTTTATTGTAAATAACTTAATAATGCTTTTGATTGGTGGAATAAACATAGCGTTGATTTCGTAACAGTCTGCAGTTCGAAAGTTTATTAACTGTAAAAGAATTATTTTAATAAAGCGAATTCATTTGAATAAAATGAATTAATAACTAGAAAGGTTAACATTTCTTTGATTGTCTGAAAAATAATGAACAAAGCAAGTTTGTGATTCTTTGGAAAACTTCATTTTGAAATCATCGTGACAATTTAAATTGAAAGAAACAGTTTTTGTTTTAAAGTTTTAGAAATTAAATGGTAAGTTTAAAAATAATCTTAAAATGGAAGCATAGAAAAGGCGTCAAACATTTATTTCTTTTAAAATAAACTTAGTATCTGGAACACCCGCTGAGAAAAAACTAAAAACTTATGACAGAAAGCTACAATTACAAACAGCTAATAAATGGAAAGTCTCTACGCTTGCAAAATATAATGCTAATGATTGGCTTGAAATTGAAAGCGTTGACGGAATAGTTACAGCGCTAAAATGCAAAGTATGCCGAGAATATGCATCGCAAATTCAGATTTTAAAAGGCTACACTCCGGAATGGAGCTGCGGAAAAAGATGTAGTCGATTGCAACATAGTTCTGCAATCACGCATACAGAGGGAATGTCTCATCAGAAGGCTTTTGAGATTTTTATGAAAACGAGAGGCATGAATTTGTGCGATCGAATTGAAAAACTAAACGAGTTGCAGCAGGAAATGCGGCAAACAGACATTTTATCCGGTATTCAAACCATGAATAGTAAAGACTTGGATTTGACAAAAAAAAATTTGAGGTCGCTTACTTTATAGCAAAAGAAGAACTATCGCTTTGCCTATACCCAAAAATAATTCAATTAGAAGAGAAACATGGTGTAGTTTTTGGTCAGGCTTATAAAAACGAAAACACATGCGGAGTATTTATTGACTACATTGCTCTTAGTTTAGCGATAGATCTCAAAAATAAACTAAATACTCGAAATTTTTTCACTATTTTAATTGACGGTTCTAACGACGTTTCAATTAAGGAAAAAGAAGCTATATTTGCCGTTACTTTTAATCCGGCTCCAACTGGAAAATCTGAAGTAAACGTTGAATGTGATTTTCTTTCACTTTTGGATGTTGAGTATGGAACTTCGCACGGAGTTTTCAACACCATAATAAAGTCACTCGAGAATATAGAAGTCGTAAGTTGCAATAAAAAACTAGTTGGCTTTGGTGCGGATGGCGCATCCGTTAACAGAGGGAGCAAGTCGGGCGTTAAAATGTTGCTCAAGGCTGAAGTCCCCTGGATCACGTTTGGCTGGTGTGTAGCACATCGTCTCGAGTTATCATTAAAAGAAAAATTAGGAAAAACAGCCTCATTCAATGACGTTGATTACATGATTTTAAAAATGCATTACATTTACAAAAAATCCCCCAAAAAGTTAAGACAGTTG